TTTTTTGCGCGTATTTGGGGCTATTCACCAGCTGGAGCTGGTTTTCGGCTGGTCCCCGCTCGGGTCCTTTTTGGGGTCTTTGAATGTGGTGCTTCAGACTGCTCCCGAGTGGAAAAACGGCTCCCCGATGATGCTCATGATGCGCGTGTGTTGGCCCCAAGAAGCCCCCAATGATGCTCATGATGCGCGCTTGTTGGCTTGGATTGGGATCCAAGAGGCCCCCAATGATGTTCGCGATGTGGGCTTGCTGGCTCCGAGAGGGACCCACGATATTCCCAACGATGCTTATGATCATGATAGCGCTTCAGGAAACGGCGGACATTAGGATGCCCACAAGACACGGGTGGTTTCAGCTTCTATTTGAAGAGGTTGGAGCAGAGCTTCATGCACACACTTTGCTGTGAAGCCGCTTCTGAGTACAAAACCGGAGCCGTTGGCGTATATGCATGTTTGGCTGCGGCCTCGGTTGTTGACGCCTCTAGCTTTCGTCCCAGTCCCTCCTCCCCAAGTGTGCCACCGCTAGCAGGCTTTCCCACCGACAGTGCAGCAGAGAAGGACTGCAGGACTGAAGGCATCAATGGGCGTTTCAACGAAATTGCAGTTGCGCGATCAGCCGAGAATCCGCTTGAAGCTTGATGCATCACCGAGCATGTTCCCACAGGCGCAGAAGACACGCCGAATGCCTCCACCAAATGGCAAGACTCTTGCAACAGCGTCATCGAGGACACTGTTGCTGTAGCATGGAGTGACCATGACTAAGGGTGTGGCATACGGGCGCAAGCGATGCAGGAGCCTTCCGCAGAATGTAGTGCCGGAAGCACCTTTGTACATAGTCGGATGCTGAGAGACGCACTTCGACAACCAAGCTGAATGACACTCGTTGACTCTACATAATTCGTCTACTAAGGTCTCCTGCCAGAGTGCCCTGCGCCCAAACGGCCCCGGTGGCTTGGCGGAGGTTTAGGTCCATGCGCTTTAGTTGCCGATGCTCGCCGGAAACTTTCGAATAAAGGAGGTTCTCGGATGTTGTGGGAAACTGCACAAGTGCAAGAGCTCCAGCTTCGAGATGCTCCAAGTGCAGCCTTCTTTCACACTCAACAACAAAGGCTGGATGGGATGAAGGCACTGTGTTCGTGTTTGCTTCTTGGTGTGGCAATGTAGACTGCCCCGCTTGCCACCTGCACGTGTCGCGCCCAGATTGGACTACAGTAGGCGCATTGCTGGTGATCGCGCTCGCTGCAGCATTTGCGACCAAGAGCACGTGAGTGGATACCTTCCCATCTCGGTCTGGAGACTGGGGATGTTCATGGTCGTCACCTCGGTTGCTGTTGCATCAGAGGGCCATGTCAGGCCTTAAGATGTGACTGCAGAGGGCCAGTTTTCGGCTGCAGTTTTTAGGCTGGCGTCCACGTGCAACTCTTCGTGCTGCTGCTGTGCAGCTTCCAGGGCCTTGCCCAGTCAGGTGCTTCCAGTCTTGTCGGTCGTGACTGACGAAATAACGTGACGATTACCTCAGGTGCCTATGCAGCGGTGGAAAGTGATGAGTACCAGTATCTTGCCTTGACAGCCATGTGGTCGACGTACTGACTGTGACTCCCGGCGAATTCGGCGAGGTCCAACTGGCAGAAAGACTTATCTCCACAGCTTAAAGAGGAGATGCACCAACGCCTGGCTGACCTGCAGGCCGGCTCATTCTCGGGCTACAGTCTGAGAAATCAATGATCAGTCCAGGTCTGCACTAAGTTGAAAGCTGGAAGATTGCCCAGAACAAGCTGGAGCACGACTTGCACGTCATTTCGGAGAGTGGGACCAATGAGCTTCGTGGTCTGAAGGATGCGACGCCTTGGCGGCAAGCAGTTGCGCATGAGAGTTTGCAGGTTGTGGCCACACCGTGAAGTCTCTTGTGATGAGGCGTTTTTAATGAACGCTTTGGGTATAGATGAGAGGAGCATTCCGTGCAGCATTTTGCAAGTCGTACCAGAGGCACATCGCTGAAGAGTCCAAAGCTGAGGAGAAGCACCTTGGCTGGACTAGCCCTAGCCCCTGTTGTGAGCCCAGGGCAGCAACATGCCGAGGTTCCGTAGATCAGAAGAGCGCAGCATGCAGAAGCAGGCGGGTGCAGAGGAGCCGCCTGGGCGCTCCGGGAAGCTGCACATTCACTGGCTTCGTTGTGTTCCGGCCCGGCATGATGGCGCACAGTGCAGGAGACATTGCAGCATAAGTTGGAGAAGCTGAAGGACTTCTCGTTGCAGCTGTTGACAGGAACAGGAAGAGACTTTACAGGCCTGAAGTGTGGTTAATGAAAAGAGGCATCTTGCAAATTCGCTCTGGCTCCTACAGAACAAAGACGGCAATCACGGCTTGGCAACTTGCCAACAGCCAGCCATTCTGTCCAACTGCCCAAGCCGGACAACGCTCAGAATGCTCATTGCAGGGCTGTTTTCCAGAATACGGGCGATAATGCGACTTCTCGTTTACCGTTTACCCACCAACGCCCGTGCTTGACCATGCTGCAGCAGTAGCGTTGTGTGTGTGTGTGTGTGCAATTTCAGTCTCCAACATGAAGACACCAAAGGACAGAGGAAGTGTGCATGCCCAGATGACACGTTGAATGACTAAAAAGGCTACGCCGACATGGGGCTTGGGCTAAGTTGCAGCATCCAGTTTGGGCGCAGGATGCGGCCGACAAGGAGCAGGCACGCTTCGAGCATTCCGAACAAGAACGTCTCAGCAAGCTGAAGAATGAGAGGCGTGCCTGCAAGCAGACGTGCCCTGCGAAAGGACGCGAGTTAGATGTGATAGTGATCTGTTGTCCTCTAAGGTATGATGACGAAAAGGCGAATGTGCTCGACAAGCCCGGGGCCTAGTTGGCCAAGGTTTCTCGTCCACTCCGAGATGAAGCCGTCATTTGTCCGAGCTGAGATTCCGACATGAAGCAGAACGCACCCAGACTCAGTCGCAGGCCACAGTATGCCACGGCGCTAAGGGCATTCAACTTAGCAAGAGATTGGGCACATCACATAGACACGACATGCTCAAGACAACTTTTGTTGCAGGCCCCTTCGCTTGCGTCTGCAGCTGATGCAACTGAGCCACCCCGTGTCAACAAGCAACGGCCCCGGAGTTTAATTTGCTTGAAAACGATTGGTCTGAAGAAGTCTAGATGCTTACCAGGTCCGGCGACTGGTGGAAGGCCCCTGTTTGCCCCCAAACCCTGCACAATCGCACTCGTAGCTGAGTCCTTGACCTCATGCAGAGATGCAGAAAGGTCCTCTCCGCAGAGGAGGAGGAGAAGCTCAGAGAGAGCCTCGAGCAGCTGAAGGACAGCTGAAGTAACATAATATTGTGAAGTGTCATTATAGTACATTAAATAGTATATTATGGGATATTGCTAAAGTATACTTGAGAGCCACGGGCTGGGACGAAAGCTCTAGCATGGGCAGGGCTGGCGACACGGAGCTCACACGAAGA